TTTAATAAACCAAATTTGAGGCGAACAATATTGTTGTCTTGTGTCGACGTGCATAGAACGTCAGTTCGTCTCATCGCACACTTGGAATCAGTTTTCGAGGTCCCCACGTTCGTGGTCGTCGCTTCGCTAGAGTTTCGAAACCACCAGTTCAAGCGGAGGTCCCCGGAAGTCCGGTAGTCACCTTCCAGTCGTCGTCAGGCGCTCACAGCAGTCCACCTGTTGCGAGATTGTGCTGCGCTGCTATATCCAGTGGAAACATTTACTGTATCCGTACTTCCACGAGTTGTCTCAGCTTCAGTTTCTCCTTCAGTCTCTGATGCTCAGGAATTGTGATGCTGAGGACAAATTTTTTGTTTTTTTTATTCTCAGTAGAATTTTTATGTTCAGGAAATTTTTGATGTTCAGGAAAATTAGTGATGCTCATCTTTGTACACTCACTGTTCAATCCCTTGTACGAAAATTAAGAAACAGTTCATCTCTGCATGCTCATTGTTCAGCTTGTTATACGAAAATAAAGAAACTGTTCTTTTTCTTGTGCTCATTGTTCAATTTTTAATACAAAAATGAAGGTAAACAAAGGTGGAAAAAGGTAGAAGAAAGTAGAAAGATGTACAGGGTCATGCAATGAACGAATGCTGGGTATCGTACGCTCATTGGTCAATTTTCATGCGTTTTTGCTGTGCAGCGTTGTTACAGCCAGCAAAAACGCATATTCTCAAGAGGCTGTGTGTGTGTGTTTGGAAGCGGGTGCATTTTGCCACTCTCATCTCAGCAACCAGGAAAGCTGGGAGGCTAAAACCTTGGATATACGTTCCTTCCCTGTGTGTCATTTTCTCGTTTTAAAATCCTTCCCCATGCGCGTCTTTACCCCACGTACGGGACCCCCAAAGAAATATGTTGGCGGGAAACGATTTTGCGAACTAGGCAAGGTACAGAGCTGAAAATTTGCAGGGATATTCTCTATGCATGTACGAGCCAAAAATTTTAAACTCAGCTGTCGAGCCCCCAACCACACCTTCAAGCAGCTCCTCAACCCAAAAGTCGTTCGCAACTCGGGATTGAACCGCAATCGTATATGTAAATATGGATTTTTTGACAAACGACCGTTCGAGCAGTAATTCCAATTTTTAGTGAACCGGAAATTTGCATTTTTTCAAAAAAATTTGCATTTGTCATTTTTTCACAAAACGAGCATTTACCGAAAAAACGACCGGACTTCAAGCAAAAAGCCGATAACCATGCATCTGGATGTCCGTACGGCTCTATAATGCACTACCTTCATTCCAGCTGACGTTCCTCCTGCATGCCGGGAAGGATTAAAGCACGCCAATATGACCCAAATGTTAGGCTCTAGCGTAGAGATCATTCCTGCTAACAGCGATCTGTGAGTTTAGTGCAAAAGCG